GCTGGGCTCAGGGGACACCCTCCCCCTTCCCCCGCAGGAATTTCATGCACCGGGCCTCTAGTAAATAATATTTATGTATTTAAACTCCAGTTTTCTCATCTCTAGGATGGCTGGTTTGCACAATCTGTGTCCCTTTATATTTTTAGTAACATATAATACATGGGCTAACTTCTGAGACTGCTTCTTTAAAAACAATAGAGGGCAAATGATTGCCATTCACCCATGTTTTAGTAAATGATTTGGAGAAAGTTATTAACTTGCCTCCAAGCCTAACATTATCTATCTGGGAATCAAAGAAAAAATATTTTGTTTTGTTTTTACATCATCTATTCATTTCAATTCTAGTACTATGCTAACAATGTTCTTCTTCATCTTTTTTTTTTTATTTCTCATAAAGTTGGAGCCAATTCTCGAGCTCAACTATTATAACCACAAAAGGATCTGTTTCTCTTTTGTGCCAGCTTCTTGTTGAGGCAGGTTAATGAAGGTTGGTGGTTTTTCCTCTCATTAGGAATTCATTTTGGCATTGACAACGCTTCACTGATCATTATGATTCTGTGTGCTGCTGTTGATTCCACTTAGATGGAGACTTCCCCGTCAGTCAGGCTCTTTCCCTCCTTTTAGTACTAGTTAAGCATTCACCCACAGGCCTCCCCAGAAAGTCTATCTCTTGCTGGAATGCAGGACATGCTCTCTCCCTGTTCCTGTTGACGTTTTTCACAGTCAAGATTACTCATCACAGCTGAAGACTGAATAACAATAGATGGGGACCGGTTTCCACATTTTTCCATAGAAGTTAACCCCAACTGCTTTGCAGCTAACATTTATGAAGGAAGACATAGATGAAGAGACTGGGCGCTACACAGCACACGGAACCTGACAAGACCCTTTTCTAGCATAGCATGTTTGTTAACACACAATTTATTCAAAGAATTTAGAAATGAAATTTGGTAGAAATAGCATTTTAAAAAAACAACTTTTGGAAGATCTTTAGTATTCTAATGATGATTAGCCGGCACAATTAAAGTCATGCCAATATTTGTGACATTTCCCCCACCACATGGTTAAAACTCTTGTTTTTAAAAGTTGTATTGCCTTTTGCTATCAACAATAGGCTGTCTTTTGTAGTTCTACTTTACAGATAACCAACTAGGTAATCAACTCAAAGAGTTCCATCCTCTATTTTCCCTTTTCTCCTCTTTTTGTGCCCTCCCCATAGTCCCTTTTCTAGACTGTCAGCTCTTTTAATGTAACATGTGCCCTTTCGGGTGTATTTCCAACTATTTTTTATTTCAAGTCATAATTTGACTTTTGATTGCATGTGGAAACTTAGGTTTAAAAAAATCCTTTCCATTCTTGGATAGTAAATTTCCTAAAGTAAAAATGACTGATCATTGTTTAATTCATCTTGTGCTACTATATAATAAGGTCAAGAGAGAAGCCCCAAATTCAGGAACAGATAACATATATTAATTACTAACAATTTCAAATATTTTATACCTATGGCATAGCCTGTTGGCATAAATTCCCTTTAGAAAAGATTTGTAGTAAATTTATAGAAAAGGTTAATATTTCATTTCTTATTTCACATTATTTGGAAGCCATTCCAGGAGCGATTGGGAAACATTCAATTATTCTGCATGCGTTTATCCAAGTTTCCATCCACAGCAACTACTAGTAGATGTAGACCAGTGACACTAAAGCACACCACACACGCACCGCACAGATTCCTGCTTTGTGTTTAGATGTGAACGGCACCTAAAGGTTCCGAGCCATTTTTTTTTATCCCTTCCTCTGTGAAACAAGGAGATGGTAGTGTCTTAGACCACGATGGAACATGGACGACGAGAAGAAATGGCTTAGAAAGGGCAGAATCCTTTCTAAAGCTCTGGCTTCCTTACTGGGCATCTATCTTGCAGGCGTGTGGGAAGTCTCCACTCCCCACCCCTGCTGGGATGATGCACCGAGAAAACATTCGCTCTCCTCGGGACGCCTCTCAGTGGTTCCCAGCTGGGAAGATGTTGCCCCGGGTTTAAAATATCTGCCCCAGCAGCCCAGCATGGGTGCAGCGCTTCCTCACTGCTCTGCGCTCCCTGCGGGCGCTCCCCGCCCTCCGCATCGGGAACTTTGGGGATGTGCCTAGACCCGGCGCAGCGCAGGTCCTGACCAACCCTGAGCAGAACAAACCCTTGGCGGGCGGCCAGGAGGCTCCCTCCCAGCCACGCCCCGGCTCTGGGAGCTGATCGTAAATATAGGCGCTTGGTAAAAAAAAATAAAGTGAAGGGGGGGGGGAAGGGTGGGGGCGGATCGAAGGGGTGCCGGCTTGGATGGGATTATGGTTACCTTAGTGGAGGCCTTGAAGAAAAAAAATTTTTGGCAT